ACATCATGAAAATTAAACCTTATTTTCAATAAGCAATCCTGAAAAATATTTGGGGGTGCTTAACTTTTTTCCAGGTGTATATATACATATACAATAACACATTTTTCACTTTTACCTCTATGTAACAAAATAATTGTTTTATGAAACTTGTTTTTTTTGTTTGTTTTTTCTTTTTAGATTATTGTAATGGTCTAATGAATGTCGGATGAAACATATTGTTCAACACATTTAAAATTTAAGCACACAACAAATTTAACATTGCTTAACATAGGATCTCTCCCTTAACCAGAAGCATCTCGATTGTAGGGATTGGTCGTAAAAATCAGAAGTTTATGCGATTTGGGGGGAATTTATCAAGAATGTGGCATACGATGAGGTTTAATGATAACACTTTACAGTTGTTACAAGTCGGATGCGACCACGATGGACTTTTTGACAGCCTTTCTTGAGAAAAATCCATTTATCAAGCCCATAGATATTGTGCCAGATCAAAAGATAAAGAACAAGGCCTCCAACCTCAAAAAGACAATAAAGAAAGATCACGTATTTTGGTTTCAGAATAAAAAAAAAAGATAATTAGTTCGTGTGTTTGTTCATTACTGATAAGGTGGGCTACCACTCCGAAACTTTGTGTCTCTTTGACTCCTCATAACTCCCGATAGAAATATGTTATCATCATACGAAATGCACATTTAGATACAGCAGATCTTGCATTCTCCAATGTGCATGCAATATATGTTTAAAATGTTACCGAAATTTCTTGTTATTTGCCCTGCCACACCAAAACACTACTTCGCCTCTGCTTGAGGGAGAAATCCTGTGTTAAATTATAAACACAATGCGGGGAAACCATGAATGTTAACTTAAGAAGCACATGTCTTTAACATACTAAGATATAAAAAAAACAAAGTATATTTTATTAGAAACAAAATATAATTTTATGAAGTTCATTAAAAAATCCACCAAACTATTCATCTTTTCATGTTTCAGGTAGTAAAATCTGTATACGTCTGGAAAAGTTGGTATATTTATAACTTTACTAGAGTTTTAAATATAGCTAGTATATTTAACATTTTCACTGATCACTAGTTACACACATTACTAGTCTCGTTTGCAGTAATCTTTGTAGTTGATACGATGGGAAAAGGTTGATGTCATTGTTTGAAAGAGATAAATATATATATTGAGATTTATAAAAAAACTGAGATAAAAGACGAGAATATGTAAAGAAAAACTTGATGAATTTAATGAAAAGCAATTTAAACAAAATCAAATTATTTATGCTAAAATCTTTCTTTAAAATAACATTGTATTTAGAATAGAAAATCACAAAGAACAAACACCTAAACCATGGTTGTAGCCACATAGAGACCAAACATAAATTATGGTTCATAACAAGACTGATTATTAACTGCTACATGTCAAGTATGAACTATAAATTAATGAAGATCCAAGTTAACTTTTTGCATCATCTACTTTTGCGTAATATTCTGTAGAAGCTTATTAATGACTAGGACTAAATTAATAACGCTTTTGCTTAAGAATGTTATTCTAAATTACGTATTTTAAAATAAATAAATTTAATCTTAATGTAAGTAATCTATGAATACCTAATTACATCTGAATGATAACGTAAGTCAAACTTTTATTGTTCCTCAATTAATTATATCATTTAAGTCCTGTTTTAATAGAACATTAAACGCGTCAGCTACACAATGGGCTATCTGTTCTCTGCCCAACGCTAGTATTGTCCCCTTCCAGTTGTTCATTAGTAAGTCTGCAGCATTACGACGCTAAAATTAGGGTTTCGATACTCATGGTGAGCAGAAACACAGATAGCCCATCGTGTAGCTTTGTGTTTATCAACAACCAGCCAATCAATAGCTGTATCGAAATCGGTCTTGTAGTATTGGGAAAACCAGAATAACATGATAGTTTAAATTAGGGATTTGAATTATTTGTTAACATTCGATTACAAAAACTAGGTGTTACAGTATCTATAGCGTTCAACTCCCACTTGAGTTGGGATATTATATTAACTTTTCATTATATCTATTTATTTATTATCATATTTGCAGCAAAATATTTGAATATTCGGAAAGAATATCTTTATAGATTAAATCAGGGATAATATCACATTACATAAAAACACAAGTGTCTGTCTGCGTCAAACATAATTAAATATCTTTTCAACCCAATAGATGGCGCAATCACTATTTGGTGTTTTCAACGTAGGTAAGAGATTTTTAAAATTTAGTCAAAATTTTTAAAAGTGTTTCTTATGAAAAGTTATACCTTCGTGAATTTGCCATTCATCATCAAAATATTTGCCTTTGCCATCACAATTAATAAGCCACAGGGTCAGACTATTGACCATATAGGAATATTTCTTCGACAACCAGTTTTTCACATGGTTCAATTTATAAGGCTTTATCAAGAAGATTTGAACATAGTATAAAAATATATAGAAGTCAAAATTCTAATCAATGATCATTTAGAGGAGATGACCAAATATACACAAAAAGTTATTTTCGTGAAATGCTAGAAAAAAGAATAAATATTCTTTATACATATATTATTACTATGATGTAATTAATTTTTATGAAACATGTTCATAAAACATTTACTTACATTTAATTTTCAGAAGAAAAATATATATATCGACATATGACGGGCATTCAGCTAATAACGTATAATAATAACCTCTTAACATCATCTACTTCTAGTTCAAATATCAAGATGGGTTTCAGAAGTAAAATAAAACAAAAAAGAAAATGATACAAATTTCATAGTTCTACCTGATTCACATACGTTGCACCAAACATATAATTGTTAAATTTAGATTAATTAAGAGCGAATTCCTTAAATGTATTTCAATGATTAATATTCCATTTATCTTTGTCACTGTAACATTAATTTTATTCTTATTATAATCATGTTAAAGATATTTTTTCACGACAGATTTAGAATGCATCAAATTATAACTGCTCTACAACTGATTTTTTAAATACATATATTTGTCTGACTAAATTGATTTAACAACCTATTACTTTAGTAATCTGTATGTAAAGAACTGTACAAGAAAATTATTTAAACAATTATAAAGCGCTTTTTGTAATGTTTTTGCTATTCCCAAACTTTCATTAAAGATTTTCAATTTTGTTTGAGTTGTGGATAAGTTTTCATTATCATTATTATTATTATATTACAAAGAACGATTTGGATGTTAAAATTTGAAAGAGGATATAAAACAATAATCTAACACTAAGTTTACGAAACGAATTCGGATTTGTCAGAAATTAAATAAATAAATGTTTATTTATATAGTAACTTAGTTATAAATGCTAGGACCACAGAAGTTATAAGACAAAAAAACGTGTTTATTGAACATGTCTGTATAGTCTCCTTCCAATGGAGCAAAATCTATAGGTAAAACATTGCAATGTCTAATTAGTTAATTTAATATTTTTTCAATGAGGAAAGCTAGTAAAAAATCACATATAAAAGAAGTGGTTCCTTATATAACAACTTCTAATATATAGAAAAGCCAGTATGTTTTGGTAACAATTCATTCCAACAGTGGCCTTTATGTAATATTGCTTAGCAACAAAAGTATATAAGTTATACTTTTATGCTAAAATGGGTTCAGAATACACATACTATCAACCTATCCCAGCAAAGCCGGGTACTTTCGCTAGTAGAAAATTGAATAGGTCTTTATTCATATAATGAAATATTTTTTAATGAACTGGTCGGCTTCTTGTTCACAGTATGACTGTAACAGACTGCTGGGTCAGGAGAAGATGCTTCCACAAAATACCCGCTCTGGACAAAGAGCATACAAAGAATAATGCTTGTCTGCACAGGACAAGGACGTGGGTAAGAATAATGAAATAATACACTTTAAAGTCAGACTAGTGTCCTAATGCGGTATCCTACACTCCTTAGATTGCCTATGTCTACGATCATTTCAAATATACATACACAAGGAAATAAACCTCAACTCATACTTATATTTCCCCTTTAATTAAGCTTAACCCTTACCCAGGAGTGAAATACAGACACAGTCCCAAGTTGATACAATCCTCCATGGAATATCCGCTGTAGTATGCAACTTTTCCCTAAGCAAGAGGATTAGTGTATGATCACGACCTTTGTACATCTCCTTAAAAAGACGTCATAATCACATGCAGAGCACCTGATAAAAATTTAGAACTTATGGTAAAATACAGTTATATCATCACACTGTAAAGTTAAGCGTATATTCGTTTAGTGTAATTCAGTGATTAATATTTCATTTTCTTTTGTTGTTATAAAGTTTATTTTCTTCTTATAACAACCGTATTACAAATTTGATATTAATGTTGTTGTTTTTTTTATCTTTGTGATTCTTGTGCTTATCATTAAATTAAACTTATTGTTCCATGAATCTATTCCAAATACCATAACTTTATATATAGAGGAACAGCCACTTTTCGAAACACTAAACAATTAAAAACAATACAAACGTAGTGTGGAGAACGATAAGTTTCTAAAATGTTGCTGCTGCTATCTGTTGAACAATTTATACATTTTATTACAAAGAAATATTCTTTTTGAAATTGATTTTCTATTTAGAAAATAAAATAAATAAATAAACTATTTTATACTAATTTAGTTACCTTTAGCTTCCATTTGTCTCTCTGTTTCCAAACAATTTGATTTTATTGATTCGAATTCTTTCTCAGCCTGGACTACTTGTCCCCGTATACGTTTCAGAACTTCTAAAGCCTCATGATATTTGCCTCGAGCCACCAGCCATCGCGGAGATTCTGGCATTCTAAGGAAGCCGAAAAACTGGGTAAAGGAAGGAATTGCTGCTAATCCAAACATGAACCTGAAAAAAAAAATGTTTTTGATAACTTTTCTTTCTCAGATACTGAGATACTTAAAATTATCAACAAAAATAATTAAAACTAGACTAGCTGACTGAGTGTTTTATGATGCTTAGATACGCAGGTAGTTCTTTAGATATCAACTATATCTGAAAATAACAACTTTCGACTAATGAAGCTTTTTAATGCTTTTCAGTTATTCAAAATGCGTTAGGCTACAACTTTTCGATTGACATTGACATTTTTATCATACGTTTTGTTTGTTTGTATAATTTCGCAAAAAGCCACTCCAGGACCGTTGCACTACCTTCTCTTATTGTGAAGTGATAGACTAAAGGGAAGGAAGCTAGACAACATCACCCACTACCAACACTTGGGCTACTCTTTTACCAACGAAAAGTAAGGTTCACTTTTACATTATAAATTTCCACGGCCAAAAGATCAAACATTTTCGGTGAAGGGACTCGAACCTGCGATATGCATATTTCGAGTTGAATGCTCTAACTATCATGCCACGTAAAACCTTTTATCATGAGAAGCAACAGGATGTGGAAGGCACTAGTGGTTTACTATGAATGGTACGTATGGTACATTTCCTAACTTTCAAATTACTTTTAATTTGTCCCTTGTAGATAGCCCTGGCATTATCTGGTGGTTAGGGTGCTCTACTCGCAATCTGAGGGACGTGGGTTCGATCCCCTGCCACACCGAACATGCCAGTCTTTTCAGCTGTGATGGCGTTATAATGTGACTGTCAATCCCAGTATTCGTTGGTAAAAGAGTAGCCCAAGAGTTGGCGGCGGGTAGTGTTGACCAGCTCTCTTCCCTCTAGTCTATCAC